GTTGAAACAGGGCTCATTGAGCACAGAAGTCGTTCGATTCCAACGAACCAAGGTGCAGTGTCTAGCGGACATGCAAGCCTCGTTGTGGCAATAATCGATTGGAACTGTAAGTGATCTCAATCTAAATGGGGGAGAAAGGAACGGGGTCACACGTACCCCGAATATAGGGGTGTGTGTCACACGAGATGGGGATGGTGTGACTAGACCCAAATGAGAATACGGTACGTGGCTGGGTAGTCAGTAATTATCCATGTTTTAAGAGTTTACTATATATATTTAGGAAAATCTATACATTGAAAATTAGGCGGCTTTGCTGCAGATAAAAATAAATATAAATCAGTTTTGGATTTTAAACGGAAGAGCTAACTAGCCTTGGGTAAGGCAATAACTACTCTTGGAGTAAGCGGATTGCGATTTGCTAACTCGTACTGGTTCTTGTGAAGAACGTAAGGTCGGCGACCTAAATTACGCTTTCTCTTAGCGCAAAGCCACGGTAGCCCCGCTATAATCCCTTTTTGGTGGCGATATTAGATGAGAAGAAATTCTGCTCAGTGACCGCAATGTATTGGTTACCCATTATGTATACGCGTTAGTTGACGGACCGTAGCCTCGCCGCATGCAGCGGTATCTTTTGATAGCCTGTCGATTCTGGCAGAATATGACAGTCCATTTCATTTTTGGTCTTCCAATGACTTGTGATACCAAAATTAAGATCTTTGTATACCGTCTGGACAATAAGAGCCACCATGCAGCTGTCAGCAATAGTGTGATCGGTGAGAGTACGTCCAAGCTGCTCCTCAATCGAAAGAACATGCAAACGTAGCTTACCGGTAGCCATTTTTGTGAATCGATATCAGCAAAGAATTGGCAAACACTGTTTAATGTGCTTAGCATCAGATTGGACATACAGTTCGCAAGTAGATAGCAATTGGGGCCGTGTGAGGTGCATTGTGACCGAATTTTGCTGAAGCACTTGCGTGGAGAGACCGCAGTGATGGTGCATTTTGCTTGCGCTGAAAATCACAGTACATGCATCTACAGGCTTTACACAATTATACATATATGATTAATAAGCCTAGCTACCCTCTAGTGCGATATATATGATTTTGACTCGATAGGATTGAGCGTCATGCGCAGGGCTCGCGATGCGATGGTTGAAAGTCTTGACAAACAGCAATACGCTGATAGCAGAGGCAGATTAATACCACACGGATATTTTGAGGACCAAAACTTTTACCAATTGCAATTTATTATCGTCACATACACTCTTTGCGGTCTGTGAACATAAGTTGATACTACGCTACATCGAACCGTTCACGGTTGTAGCTAAGAAGAGATTGAATTTTACTCTAAATCTCGTACTAAAGATGCGATCATACTATGTGTTCTGACCGGGTAAACTGCAGCTATACAACGATCGCACTTGTGCGAATCAGATGAACGTGAGTTTTTTGATGGAGACAGAAAAATGTTTCTAACTACCTCCGTAGCTGGGGGTGCTATTTCCTCTGAAGCAGCGACCCAGTCTGGAACTATGATGTTGCTTCCAGCCTAGTAGCGTGACGGCGAAACCTTGACGGCAAAACTGAGATCTGGTAAGTCTTAGCCACGGATGCACGCTGTGACTCTTGGAGGGTGTCTATGTGCTACCACAACCGAGACAGCTTACAATCTAGCCGCTGGAGGGTTGACCTCTATTGGCGTCGCTTGATGAGCAAGCAGTGACCCACATTTACGTAATATTTGGTTGACTGGCGTGTACGTTAATGCAGTTTTCAAGATTTGGCTACAATTATGTGGGAGTTGGAAGTTTTTTACTTTGTTGAGATTGCCCTGTTTTGAAAATCACGACAAAATAATTCGGACAAGAGCCCGCGAGACGAAAGCGTTTGTGGTAGAACAAGCTGCACTTCTTGAGCCACGCAGGAGCGCACAATCCTATTTTCTGTACGTTTTGTCAATGCAGCTATCATAGTTGATGTTCCCACGGCAAGCTCGTTACGTAAACCACTCAGCGAGATCATAGTGACATCGAGATCATGACATCATCATGTATTACACATAAGGATGTGCTCGTATGGACACGACATGTTTCGCTAAACTCAAATTGCAGCCTCCCGGAGGTAAAATTGCGAAGCTGTCGAAGCATTGGAATGCTTGCAGTGATTTTGCATCCATTAGAATTTAGATACGACTAAGTACAAGTTGCTGGTCACATTGGATTGAATTGTGCACAAAATGTATATTCGCCACATAGTGTATGCAAGTCTCTCAAATTTTTGTGAAACCCGCCTAGTGGCAATGAATTTCGGGAATTCACTAAACTAAATCTATTGAAGTGAATTGCTTGAAAATTCGGAGCTTTGATTTGTGTAGTTTTCTTCTTGTGATATCCTTCTTTTCACAATGTCAATAGATTGCAAGGTTCTACAGCATATTGTTTACATTGACAACTTGAATATTTGACGTATTAGCACAACAAGGTTCTGCCACTATTTCTTAACAATTCGAAAGGTGTAGTGCACATTTATTAGAATCCTGGTAGTACACAGATTTTCTAATATCAAAAGACGATTGTCGTAAACCTATTAAATTCTCGGGGGTACGTGTTTTGGTCAATTTTCTGATTTCCTATCCCAAAAGGTTTGATAGCGGTATGATAACACATAGAAAATTTATCATAAGACGGCTAGATACGTAATATGCAAAAATGAAATCCACTTTACTTTAACTACTGACAGCAATAGTATGGCTGATTTATTAAATATCATGGAATAATGAAAAAGTACAACTCAAGAAGTTTCAGCCCAGGTTGAATATCCCGAAAGCCGGATAGACCAGATTCTATGATGGACAAATCATAAGTCTACGTCTTTCAGATCCAGTCATTTGTCGCTTGAATCGTGGCGTATCACTTCCCAATTTTCTTGACATTGTTCGTGCCAATCCTTTCGAGTTTATTACTGCTTGATGTCTGTGTATCGTCCACGTCTAATTCGAGTATAGTCCAGCATGAAGATCCAGTTGTGTTTGTTGGTCACTTGAATGATTCGCTGCCTTCTGGAAATAGTAGCTTGACCGTTGCTGCTGAAGAGTTGCAGAGCTACGATGATAGTGAGCAAGACAATACCGACACTGATGATACTGCTGGGGAGACAAGAATGATTTCATTCATCAAAAAGCTCCCATTGTCGTTTCTCGACAGCACTGCAGATAGCCTCCAGAGCACAATAATTAAAGCGAAAGAACTGCTAAACACAGATAATTTGACTCCAGAGCAGAGTATGGAGCTATCGAAATACGTGGCGAAAATTTTCAAGTTAAGTGATGATCACGTGAAATTATTTCTTCATACGGAAATCTTCAACCTGTTAAAACAATCTGTCACGAGAGAGATGACACTCGACCAATTGCGCAAATTCCGAATGAGAATTTCATGGATATTCGACCATATGATGCAGCAAACGAAGACAGTTCTCTTGAAGAATTTTTCCGCCTAAAGCTATACAGTCCGTTGCTATCTCACATCATCAAAGTATATGATCTGGATACAAGCTCCACTTATCAAACTGCAGTCGCTGAAGACGTCGCAAGTTTGCTTACTACTAATCGTAATGATGGAAACATGATATCTTGGTTGGGAATGTATAAATGTGATATCCATACTAAACACGAAATCGAAGTTCTCATTGGAAAATTATTAACTCAACCTGTAACCCTCAACTTAGCGTTTCGTTTGCACGCGATGCGTTCCAACCATATATTAGATCTTTCCGTGCGTATCCACGATGATTTGGATAGATATGATATTCTCTTTGGTTACGCCGCTTTTGTTCGATTCAACTTCATTGAGCACGAGATAAAAAGGTCAGAGGTCGTGCTACCAGATTTCATTGGGTTCATGTCCAACGGAATAAATTTGGACGTCAAAAAAATTGAAAGATTGTTTTCAGATGAAAGGTGGACGCATAAGGATGAATTCATTCGCTTGGGTCTCGTTGATACAAATATTTTCAACAACCTGGATAAGGATGAAGTGCGTTTGTTTAAAGCTGCTGTGCAGTCTCGATATCAAGCGAAGTTGGTCAAAGAGGCCTTGGAAGCAATTAGTAACGGCGTTTCATTAGCCAGAGATTATAACATGGAGGCCTTGGAAGCAATTAGTAACGGCGTTTCATTAGCCAGAGATTTTAACATGGAGGTCACGTTCAAGGCGATGCTGATAGATGAGGAACTTGTGCGACAGCTTCAAGCGGTGCTTAAAGACGAGAGAGCAATGCAATCGCTTCAAGCAATGTTGAAGGATGGTCCATTGCTACTGCCTAAAGGTGTTGTGGAGATGAAGGAGGAAAAAGTTGATGATGCGACTAAGCTCATTTCGTTAATCAAGAAAGAGGATACATTGCAACTGCTCGAAATGTTTATGGCGGATAATGAACATGTGAAGATCCTTAAAGATGCTGTAGTACGATTTACAGCAGTTGATGACATGTTAAGCAGTACGGAATTGGATACGGTGACAATACTCCAAGCGATTCTCGACGATCCAATCAAGGTGCAAATTCTTGAAAATGCACTGAAAGACGAGACGCATTTAAGCCTATTTAAAAAGGTCTTGGAGGACAAGGAAAAGATCCATAAATTCAGGGTTGAACTACCTGACAAGACACAACAAGATGCGCTCGATCAAGTATTCGAGGATATGAATCAAGTGTTTTCTCTCAGAGTGGCTTTGATAGATGATGGTCGTTTGGAATTGCTCCGAGCGGCTGTGAATGATAATGAAAAGGTGATGGATGTCGTGGATTTTCTGAAGAAAAAGAAATTGGTAAATATTTTCAGATCTTTACTCGACAGTAAAAAAAAAATTAATTGGCTTGGAGCAGCTACTTCAACTCATTATAAGCAGGTTCAACACGCTTTGCAAAGGCGAGATAGGAGGATGTTTGCAATGGAATTGTTTAACCATCTCGAGTCACTTGAGAAGACAAAAGGTATTGAACCTTAGAATCGATTGATAACATTGTCTTATCAATTCTTGTCTTTTTATATTTGGGCTTTAAACGTTTACAAATACAAAACAATCTTCGTATCAACAATGTTATAATTTGTAGCTTTATGTTCTTGAAACTGCGTTGATAGGTAATCAAAAGTCTTCAGTCAACAAAAATTGACAAAGCACTTAACACTCAAGAGCATTTCAACAAGCAATTCATATGAAAGTAGCAAAGTGCAAATCTCGAAAACAAATTGACGTATTTGATAACGAAAGAACACGAGTCGTCATGCTAATAATACTTTCTAACTCTCTGAAGTCGAATCAAGAAGTCAAGTACTATAACTGCTTAGTAACACAGGTTTGTCCCTTTAAACATTATGTAGAATTAAATGTACAAATACACTACGGTACAATTGTATGAAATTTGCTCTTCAGCGTAATTGAAAATATCTTTAAGTACAGAAGTATCAAAGTATCAACGGGAATTATGGTACTCGAAAAGGAGGAGTTCAAGATAAACGTGCGCTGCCAGCTGCACATCACGTATTTTAACCATTCCTTTGCATATGCTGACATTCCTCTGTGCGAGGTGCATGGAAATCTCGTTGCACTTGGGAGCACATGCAGCCAATCCCGATCCACGTCGTGGAAGTATCTGGGCGAGAATGGAACACGAAACACTTGAGTATCTGTTCCCGAAGATCTAATATTGTCTGGTGCGGATCCCGTACATCCATTACCAACTCAAGAAGTCGTTTGTCACTGCTATATCTGGTATGTACCATTATCCCAAAAGCCCCTCGTAGACTATGTCATGCGTTGCATATGAATTGATATTTAAGTGCGGCAAGATGGAAGTACAGGCAGCCCTGCAATGCACAGAAGGTGGTCTAGATAGAGATTTTTTCTGTGCAAGGTGCACGGCGACCCCGCTGTATGTACTGTCTGCTTAAATCTCTGGGTGTCACGTAGCGCAGGCGAGGAAACGTTGGCGGAGGAAGGCGAAGTCGGGAGAGCAAGGTGAGCGCTGGCGGAGGCTGTTGGTTAGGAGGGCCTGCCCGCTTAGAGGGAAAAGAGAAGTAATTTATTGATCGTTCAGTTTATCGGGACGCTGGGCTTACTAGCCACTGCGTCCTTGGCGACCTAGACACGCAACATATAGATAGGTCCCATCCTGAATCCTATCTATCTCAAATCCTATCCTATCTTTCTGAACCAATGAAAATCTACTTTTCCTACACGTGACTTGAATATTCCGGCTGTCACTTGATTCCTTGTCGTACCGTCGGCTGCAGAACCGAATAATTG